ATTGTCGTGTACCCCATAGCGTCGTCCATCGCGGGTGACAACGTACTAGAAGTGCTGATCAAGTTTAGCTGTTATGACGCCAATGGCGTGACGACGACGCGACGGATGAACATGTTGTCGTACTTGACGGCGTTCCAGCAGCTGAACACGGCGCTGCTGGTCATGCGGCTGCGTGAGTCTCCGTACTTGACGTCCGAGAACTGGGTCAAGTCTAGGAAGAGCTGCTGTGTGTGTCAAGGCAAGTTCTCCATGTCGCGGAGGAAACACCACTGTCGTCTGTGCGGTGACGTCGCGTGCTCCAAGTGTTCGGAGATCCACCAGATCAAACTGGGCAAAGCTGGGAAATGTCCGTTCCGGATCTGTATCAACTGCGAGCACGGCATGGACGACAACCAGCGACAGAGCAGAGGCCAGATCGCAGCCGGAGCCGCGCAGCCACCCAGGACGCCCGTGAACGGCATCAACGCGCTTCGTCGTCGTCTTGGCAGTGGCAACGCAACGCCCCGTAGTCCAGAGGAAGACGACGAGTACAGCCGCCCACCGTCGACAAACTCTAGCAGCGGAGACAGCTCGGACTTCTACGACTCGCGGGGTCTGCTGTCGTCCCATGCGTCGACCAACCCGGACCGTACGCTGTCCAACATGTCTGGAAGTACAGTGAGCAGCTTCAACAGCAGTCGTGGCCTGGGAGCGTTCGGTAAGAGTGGCAGTTCCAAGACGTTGAGTATTAGTGGGAGCAGCTTCGGTGGCAGCTTCTACAAGCCGAGCAACGCCAGCAACGCCACGACTATCAGCAGCTCACGGGGCAGTCGCTATGATTACGAGAGCGAGAACGATGTGGAAGGGAACGACGTGGAAGGCAAAGATGACAGCGACACGGAGAAACCGGTGGAAGTGGTTCGAGAAGTGGAGAAAGAGCCCGAAGCAGATGCTATCGATTCTATCGAGGCGATCGAAGTTGCGTCCTCGTGCTCGTCCAGTCCGTCGTCTCCTAGCAGTGCTGTGATCCAGAGCGACCAGTTCTACAAACGCTTCTCGGAGTTGTCGCTCATGGACTTCCACGACTCGGAGTTCGACTTGTCTATCAAGGGAGGGCTCCCTAGCCGCATGACGGGGAAATCCGTGTACGACTTTGATGATTCCGAGGCGGATGCGGACTCGGATCGTGAGGATCTGGACGGGATTGGAGAAGAGGAGAACGAGGACGGAGAAGACGACGAGGTGGAGGATATCTGCGACTTTGACATGCGTGAGCTGGACGAGGCCGACGAGGACGACGAGGACGACGGGATGGAGTTCCACGACTCGAATGTTGGGCTGGACTTCAAGCTCCAAGACCTCAACTTGCAGGACTACCAAGGTCTCGATGAGCTTGCAGAAGGAGATGAAGAATTCGACGAGGACGTTGAAGAGGAGATCCATACCGACATGGTACTGGCCAGATCTCGCGTGGGGAAATCCGTGGACGAAGAGCGAGCGGCTCGCTTGGCTGAGTACGGCATCATGGACTCCGGTAAGGAGAACATCTACGACCTTGTGGCCAAGCAGGCGGCTCAGCACGCGAACTGTTCGCTTTCCACCATCAGCTTCGTCGATGCACGACGAGAGTTCATCAAGTCTAGCTTCGGTCTGGTGCGGGAACGGGATCTGAGTGAAGTCCCGATCTCGCACTCGCTCACTGCAGAGATCATGCGGCGCTTCCCTTCTCGCAAGGCCTCCATCACTCAAGACGTGAGTATTGACGGCGGTGATGAAGATGAGGACGATGGCGAGGTCGTGACGGTGCTGGACGCGAGACAAGACGACATCCTGTCCACTAATTTATTCGTGACCGAGGCGCCCAACCTCCGCTTTGTCATGGGTGTGCCGTTCCGAGCACGCGACGGGATTGTTCTCGGTGCGCTCATTGTGGCAGACTCGCAGCCCCGCACTTCAGTGCCGGCACGTCAGCGCTCGTTGATCAAGGATCTGGCGGAACAGGTGAGTGCTCTGCTCGAGGATCTGTGGACGCGCAACCAGGAACAGGCCAAGCTCGCCAGCTCTCAGTCCGGTCAGCTCCGCGACCAGCTCGTGGACCTGCTCTCGCAGTCGTACACTACGGGGCTTCAGATGCAGCAGAACGAGCTCAAGATGGAGCAGTCGACGACTTCCTTGTCGTCGTCCACGCACAAACCGCAGTACGCCAAGGACTTTCGCCACATGCAGAGTGTCGAGTTATAAGTGACTGAACGGTTGGTTGTCCAGTATCCATCAACGGCAGTCGGCCGTACGAACAAGAAGAGGAGAGTCTGGATTCCCAGACGTCGACCTTTTAGAGCATCCAGGAGAATAGCGAGCGGCAAACGAAGCCGCAGCTCAAAGACACGCTATTATGTTATGTAAGCACGAGTGCACCCGCTGCAACGGAGGAATACAGCATCTAATTATCATTACGAACACGTTGACTTATCGATCTACATGTATATACATTTACTTGTGTTCCAGTAACTATGCATAGAAGCCTTCCAGCCTCTAGTCGATCGATATGCCACTAGAGCCAAACCACGATTTATCGCTGTGACTCCCAGCCCGTGAGATCGCCGATCACTGATCGGCCATGTGCTCCACGGAATGATACGTTTTTCCTTATAACTCGTAAACACCAAGAACTGTTGACCACAGCCGGCTCTCACTTGGTGATTCCTCACCGAACTGAAGCCCCACAAGAATCTACGGAAGAAGAATCAAGACATGCGCTCAAGCCTCGTCCTCCTAGTATTTGGAGCCACACTTCTTTCGACCACGAAGGCTGTGTCGGGAACTGCCACGAAGGCTTCGCCCAACATCAACAGACATTTGCGCAGTCATACATCCGGTGCCAACGAAGCTGCCGACGAAGAGAGACTTTGGGGTCTATTCGGGGGGCGAAGTAAGAAATTCGAGGAAATGTTGATCAACAACCCGAAGGAACTGAACAAGTATTCGACAAACACAATCCACTCCAACTTGACACGCACGAAACATACAAAGGACCTGTTAATCTATCTCAACCGACGAGCAAGAAACACGGGCAAGGCACGTCGAGACACTTGATTGAGGTATACTACTACGACTGCACGTTTGAAGTAGGGAAGCAGCAGGATTTACACCTCAGCTAGTTGAGACCCCTTG